TGTTGGGAATATTCCTGTCCTTTAAAGTCAGAATTAAGAGATGAGCCACTTTCAGGTGGGCAAAACAGTCAGCTTCCTTTGTCGGGGGCCCCCTAACCCAGGCCTGTAATCCCAGCAACTTGGCTGGGAGGCAGGAGACTTGCAAGTTGAGGCTAGCCTCTGTGACTCAGTGAGAGCCTGTCTCAAAATTAAAAAATGCCCGGGGATGTATAACTCAGTAGTAAAGCACCCCTGGGTTAGATTCCCCACTCCCTCCTGCTCCTCTCCCCGGCAAAAAGTCAGCTCCCTCTCCTCCTGTGAAACTTTCCATTCAACATCTGTGAAGGGACACAGCCTGCACCCACCCATTCCTGCTGCCCCCCCCCCATGCTTGCCTAGGATGAGCAGGGCCTGGGGCTCTGGAAGACAGCCTGGCCTAGGTCACAGGAGGGCTATCAGCCCCTGGCCCACTTGAAGCCCCTGCTGTCCATAGGTCACAGAGGAGTAAACTGTGGGATGACTCTTCAGAGCTCTGGCAGGGATTCGCCTGGTGAAGGCGGGAGGAGATCCCAGGCCTGGTCGGGGCAAAGGACCCTCATTTGGGGGCAAAAAATTGGAAAAGGAGAATCAGCTGGGCCTCTGTGGACAGAAACACGGATGAGTCAGGAGCCGTGGGCACATTTCTGACAGAGACAACTGGGAGAGGAGTCCTTGCAATTCTGTCAACAAACTAAACCATGAGAATTAAGTAAAAAAAAACAAAAAAAAAAAAACATGTCCAATGGCAGCTTCACATTTTCTTGTCACTTTGCATCATGCTTATTGGCATTTCTCACTGAATTATCAGCGATCACCTTATGTTCCTGGGCAGGCAGGGCAACACAATGGTTAGTGACACAACCTGCCAGAGTCTGAGCCCTGGTTCAGCTGCTTACTAGCTGGTGACTTTGGTCAGGTTACTTAACTCTCTGCTCCTCAGTTTCCCTGTCTGTAAACTGTCAATCATCATAGCATCCGCCTCTTAGGATTGCTATAAGGACTTATTGTTAGTGCCTGCAAACACTTAGGATAGTGCCTGTGAGGCAGAAGCACTGACAGAATGGTGAAGAATTGTTTGTCTTCCTTATGAAGGTGCCAAAGAGAGTGCTGATTGCTTGGCCCAGCATCTGGGCCTCTTGTGACCAGGTCACTAAGCCGGTGTTATCTGTAGGTCTTTTTTTAGGGAGAGGGTAAGCTAACCAGACCAGGAAGGAACTAAAATCCTTTTCTTAGATGTGCTTTAATGACCCAGAATTCGAATAAGGATTTCATGGAAATCACCATTTGTTCAGATTATGTTCTATTATTATTATAAGAATAAGTTCAAAAGCCCAGGTTTATGTAGGCAGAACTTGATTATCAACTCTGTTTGGGAGCAGAGATACGCAAATCTTATCTAAGTGCTTCTTAATACGTTGTTTAAACATATGAGTCACTGTTTCAAAGTAAATTGGAGTGTTTGCTCAATACGGGTGATG